AACGATTGCTGGATTTTGTTTCTTTTTTTTTTTTTTTTAGAGTTCTCTCTGACGTTGAGAAGTGAAACAAATTACACAATGATGCTGGCGCTTCCTGGATAATAGACTTGTGCATTATTAATAAAACCTTGAAATAAATTCTTTCTCTAATCTTAAGCCAATGCAAATTGATAAATACCTGGTCATTTATTTGATTTTCTATTCTGGTTTTAAATACCAGTCTTGCTGCACAATTTTGAACAGACTGCAATTTTTTAATAGTGACTTCTCAATTCCAAAGTAGAGGGAGTTGCAATAATCTAGCTGTGAAAAAATTAATGAACACAGGTATAGCTGGCTTGTGGCAGCCAAGCGTTCATAGCGACATTGCTTTTTGATCCTTTAATGTGGGCTCTTCCTATCATTGTGAAGCAGAATTCACCAAGTGTTGGAATGTTCACCCACTAATAGGGAACGTGAGCTGAGTTTAGACCGTCGTAAGACAGGTTAGTTTTACCTTACTGATGAAGTGTTGTTGCAATAGTAATTCTGCTCAGTACAAGAGGAACCGCAGATTCAGACAATTGGCATTTGCACTTGCTTGGAAAGGCAATGGTACGAAGCTACCATCTGTTGGATTATGACTAAACGCCTCTAAGTCAGAACCCATGCTAGAAAACAATGATAATTACCTCTGGAAAATCTTAGGCAAACAAGAATAGGGCCCTGCAAAGGGCTTGTGCGTCTCAATGCACCGACTCGGAGAAAAACTGACGAGGTGCTGATAAAGAATGAATTTTAAAAGTTATAAGTGCATTATTAAAGTAATAACACTATTATAATGTTATTATTTTTGTAATGCAGTTAGTGACTAGAGTGTTATTACTTTTGTAATTGTACGTTTATTGTTTTATTTTTATTTTTTCGCTAACAAATTTAAGTCGATTCTCCCCTTAAAAACAAGGAACACGGTTTTGTATAAACTAAAATTTTGAATACTAGATATTTTTCCAGATTTTGCATTTCCCATTCGCTTAATTCAACCCTTGTTGTTACATTAAAATTATACAAATAAATTTTACAAACACATTGCAATTTGTATTTTTGCTATCCTCTTTGAAAAAAAATTAAGAAAATGAAAATCATTCTTTTTATTGTAGACTATAAACTGTTTTTTTTTGCTTCGCCTTATCTAATTTTGTTGCTGAATTTAACTCTAAAGAAACAAAAATAAAAACAGTATGCAAATTATTTAAATTATTAATTTGTTTTTATTTTATTCTATTTCAATCTCTTTTTATTTTGTTAGATTTGTTTTTTTGTTTTTGAAACTTTTTCAGCATTATTATAAAACTTGCAAACGGCCGTGTTCAAGTTGTATAAAATAATATACTTGCGTGTGGTCATACGAGACGAAAAACCGCACGCCTTTCCTTGGAAGGCTTGGCTTATATTTAAAACGTAAATTAAATAAGTATATTAAAACGTAAATTAAATTTTATCAATAACAATGTTTTTTTTAATACAACAAACTGGTACCAGAAATTTAAAAAACGAGAAAATTAGATTCACTGCTTGCTTGAATTTAAAACATTTAAAAGCAATTTTAAATGTTTCAATGAACCATAGTCATAACAACATTTAATGACTATGCATGAAAAAACATTTTTTGGTATTCTTCCTTGCCATGATAGCATGTAATTGCTTACGATCTTTTGTAATTCTTTTGTAATTAAACAACATTTTTTATTTTTGCTGAGACTTTCTAATTGTTATTTTATTTTGCAATGCAATTTATGTATTAAGAAAGTTAATATTGATTATAAAATTGAACTCGCAAATATTCTCTTTTATATGCTACACCTAACACAGAATAGAAATTGTTTTTGTTTAAAATAATTTATAATAGGATAACAAATAAACTAACATAATTTAGAGATAAAAAATAACTAAAATAATTTATAGATAACAAATAACATAATTTATTCAGAATGAGAAAAATAAAATCTAAGATTTAGTAGTAAGAATCTCAAACCACAAACCTTTTTTGAAAAAAAAGCATTTTTATACTTCAATAAATTAATAATAACCTGAAACTTTGAAAATTCCCTTAAGAATCAAATTATATCATAGTGTATACATTTAACATTCAACATACCTTCCAACTCTTCATTTGCATAAGGTCCAGTAACTGTGGGAAATCCAACCTCGACCCATTTTCTTAAACCACCATTCAAAACAGAAACCTTTTCATGGCCAAAAGCTTTAAACATCCACCATACACGAGGTGCAGAATAAAGTGCAAAAACTTCATGATTATCATAAATAATAACATGGTGATTATTTGTTATACCCAAGTTGCTGACATATTCTTCAAAATAATTTTCAGAAGGAAGCATTCGAGGATAAGCAGATTTTTTATCACAACACTCATCAAATGAAAAGTACTTAGATCCAAATATTCTTTTTGATAAATGCTTTGCTCGGTAATCCTCATTCTTCAAATCCCATTGTGCATCAAGAATTCGATAACTTTCATACCACAAAGGCTTTTTCATGAAGTCGAATAGTTGTGAACAAGATATCAAACTCTCTGTCGATGCAAAAAGTTTGCAAGATTTTAAAGTGAATTTAATATTTAAAAGTAAACTTTTTTTCAAAAACATTTTAGATATTTACTTTTCTAAAAAAAATTAAAATATAATATAGTTATAAACACCTGATTTTATAAATATTGCTCTTTATAAATTCATATATGTATAAACTGTTTTATTATAAGATGTGGATTGAACAAAACAAAGCAAGACCGGAATAAAATAAAAGAATTTTCTTTTAAATAGAAAGCACACCCTTTCCAAAACCCCTCAGTTGATGTACACACCACAGCGTTTATGGCAAAATCATTTTATGTATGTTTGCCACAAATAAAAATAAAAATGAAGAAAATAAAAAACAAAAGTTCAGTAATAAAAACTGCTTTTTTTGGTTTTGTAAAAAAATAAAAAAAATAATTTACTTCTGCAACTAATGCACTGATTTTCACATAAAGATGACAATTAAAAGTTGCTTAAAGTAAAAAAAAAAACTATAGAACCTTTTATGGTAAAGATTTTTTTACCATAAAAGATTATATAGCTTACCAAGCTAAGATTTGTGTGTGTGTGTTTGTGTAGATATAGAAATATAGAGAAATAGAAAAAGAAAGAGAACATATAACATATTGCTTAAACAAAAAAAAATAAAAATAACAGTACAATACATTAAAGAGATGCATGAGCTTTATAAAGTTATTAGTAAACAATTAACAAATTATTATAATTAACAAAATGTTTATCTTAATAAACAATTAAAAAACATAAATGATGCTAAATACTAAAAATACTAAATAACATATAATGATATATATATATATATATATATATATATATATATATATATATATATATATATATATATATATATATATATATATATATATATATATATATATATATATATAATTAAAATATATATATATATATATTATTAAAAACTGGCATAGTACATTAAGAACATTTGCTGAAAAATTTTGAACATCAATTTTTTAAAGGAAAAAGACTGTGAAGAATATTATACTAAATATTTATTTGGGTTTACCTTAAGGATATTTTGAAAATGATATATAAAATTTAATAAGAGAAAAATAAGCAAGATTTTATGCTTCAAGAAGACAGTTAATGGTTCTGTAAGATACCTTTTATAATATATATTATAATTAGAATTGTTATATATTTTTTTAATTAATAAAAGTTAATAACTTTAGAATTTTCTTAAAGGTAATTAAAACTTTACAATTGTTAGCAAATTTAACTGAAAACTATATATATATGTAACTTATACAATTATAGATTTTTAACACACACACTTTTTCATTCGTCTAACAGAACATCTAAAATTTATTCTCAGATCTTTTATTTTTTTTTTTTTTGTATGTATTTAGGTGCTCCCAGAAGTCCTTACAGTCTTATCATAGAGCATTTAACAGGAAGTTCACGCCTCCTTCCGTACCAATGTCGCTTATTGGGCTACAGCTGGCGTTGAACCTCGGACCTCTGGGTTCTGAGCCAGAACTCTAACCACAGCGCCACGGCTGCTCAAATCTAGAACAGCGTAGAAATTATATAATAAACAAAAATAGCTAAGGGTCAATACAATAGAGAAAATGCTCTTTTCCCAGTCTCTTACCCTAAATATCTAAATTACAAGTTTGAAATACAAACCTAGTTACTGGTAACAACAGTATTAACTAATTAATGAATTTATATTTTCTCTAGCTTTTCTACTTTTGTATACCACCATGATCAGTTGAAATTTGAACAATTGTAAATTAATTTTTATCAAGCACTACTTAATAAGTTCTAACAATATTTAATTAGTTTTATTTTATAAGGATACCATCACACTTAGTCTACATAAGAACAATTATTCACATTCTACTTTTAAAGTAAACCACAAAACCACAAAGTCAGCAATGTAATATAATTTATCCACCACCTACATAATGATGCTAACTCTATTTTTTATGTTATCTGGAAACATTCAACTCCTTGTCAATAGATCACTTTAAAATATTGCACTACTAGTTTTTGTAAACTCAAATATATATTTATTTCAATAAAAGCTTATACAGTAAAATCCCTGGTAAGTTGAACACTGGTTAACTTGAATTTATTTTATATCTCGAACTGTTTCATTTTGGACAGGAGCCTGGTTTTTCCTTTTTTTGTTGTTGTATTTAGATCTGAAGAAAATAGATCATTATTAGACATAAAATATTTTATTAGACATAAAATAATTCTATAATAAAACTTTTTTTCAACATCTTCACTTCCAAAGAGGCTGAAGTTACTGGAGGAGAAAAGATGAAGTTTATAGAGCAAGATAACAATTAACAGACGACTTAAAAGATTGCAAATTATACGAATCAGAAAAACAAGATAAAGGGAGCGTTACAAAATAAATCATGATAAAATATCATTAAAAAGCAATTATTTTTTAGTTTTAATGAATTTCTTAATTAAAGCTTATATATGCAATTTTATTACCAAATCATGAATCATTTTTTGAATGCTACATTATCAAACTTTTTTTAAATGTTATCTTTTGAGTGTACAGTGTGAATATGAATTGTAACTTCTTTCATTAAAACATTTTTCATATTTTTATTTTATACGTTTTTCAATTTTCAAACTGCATTTCAAAAACCTATTAAAAAACTAATTTTAACAATTTGATGTAAACTTAAGTATGCCTACACACATAAAACTAATTATGTATCATTTAAAAAAAACTTAAAACCATCTAGATTTCAAGCAAACATATTTATATTTACCAAATATAATTTCTTTTTATTTTTATATAAAGTTTACAGACTAATTTATTGTTCTACAGACTACTTTATTGTTCTATAAAAAAGATATTTTAACTTTGAAAAAAAAAAAAGATCTTGTATTTAAAACGGCTCATAGCTGCTCATGTTTTTTAATACTAAAAAAAAATGTAAAACATATGTTTTATAATAGCATAGTTTATTGTTTATAATGATATTGACATAGTAAGATTGTTTTATAAGTAATATTGTGCCAATAAATACAAATACTAACAAAAACTAGAAAAACTTCCCTTATTTAATTAACAGAAAAAACTATATTTATATATTTTAATATTATAATGAATAGATAAAAAAAACTCAACTCAATTTTAACATATTCATATTTATACATTTTTAATTTCGCTATTATTAACATGAGTATAATTATTTAAAATATTTTTTCTAAAGAGAGAAATCTCTTTTTTTTTGAAATTATTTTTTAAAATTCAAAAGTTTTGAATTCCAGAAAAAAATATTTTTAAATTTTACTAAATAAAAAAAACTTTAAATATATTTTTTACAAAATATTTATATTAAGTTTTTAAATAATCAAAAATTACAAATAAGAAAAAAGCAAAACAAAAAAAAAAAAAAAAAAATACAAAATTGTGAAATTATATACTTATAAATATTTTTCATGTTTAAAAAAACTTGTTTGCAACATTTGCAAGTAAAAATTTTAAGAAGTAAATGATTGATAACATCAAAAAAACACATATAGAATTTAAATACCAATAGAATATACTTTTTTTATCTTACTAAAACATTAAACGTGGGTTTTGACAAAAAAGAACAATAAATACTAATATTTACAAAAAAACATATAGTGTATTTATACTGTATAAATTGAAAGTTTTTACAATACTTTTCAAGACTCTGTTTCAAAGTATCAGAACTAGTATTTCAAAATTATGCTTATGTAATCAACAAATAGCAGAAGGTCCATCAACAGGAGTATCTATTGCTGGCACGGAGAGGGCAGGAGCACGTAGTTTAAGAACTAAAAAAAAAATCGAATGGTGATGAACTTTAAAACTTAAAGTATATTGACTATAAAAAAAAACGGTAAAAAAGGTTTGGAGGAAACAATAAACTAAAATTTGAAAATAAAACATACAAACATAAAAAAAATATTACCGTATCCATAACCTTGTAAAAAATAAATAAGGGCATTAACTACTGTATTGGGCTGTTCCTCTAAAACCAAGGTAGAAGCACTTGAAATTTTCATCCAAGTAGAATTTGTGGGATCTAGTTTAGAGTTCATATCTACAGTGTCATCAACAGCTGGTGAATTATCACCTGTTATTAATAAAACACCACATTTTAAAGTGGTCATGGGTGACTGATTACTGACTGGCCGGCTTATATTTATTGGTGTACGTCTGGCATGAGATTCAATAAATAAACCAAGATTACGAGGATATTTAATTCGATTCAATTGATCAACCATCATACTGACAAGATCATTATTGTAATTCTCCTCATTTCTTCCAAAAAAATGATATCGCAGATAATCAACAGAAAATTGAGTCATTCCTTTTGTTTTCAAATAGTAACTCATAAGCTTGTAAAAACAATAGGATTTTATAACAAAGTTATATTTGATATAAAACAAGTCCCAGAAAAATTTTGCGCAGGCTCATTTATTGATAATTACTAAAGAATACAACAGATTTATTCAGATTTATTCTTTTATTTCAAAAAATTATATTATGTATCAAAACTAGATTTTGGACTTGATTGAAAAAACTAAATTTGTAATTACTTATGATGTGCGTAACAAAAAAAAATGCAGAAAAGCATTAACATAACAAGAAATGTAAAAACATCTTGCATTTTTTAATGCAAAATCAAGTGTTGTCAAAGTAAGAAATGTCTGTTCAGCAATTCCACTAAAAACTGTTCAACATGGTAAAAAAATTTACAATGATAATGAAACTATTGAAAGATTAAAAAAGATTTAACTAAAAGAAAGTCTGGAAATATTTAAAAAAAAAAGTTTGTATTAAAAAAAAAAAATTATTGAAATTAAATGAAACACTCAAATGTGATTCCTAACTACCCCTACAAAATTTAGCTAAAAAAATTCAACACAAGTAAAACTATAGTTAAAAGAATTAAAAAATCACAATGTTATAGATCCTATAAAAAGAAAAAAATCCCAAGGTGTAAATGTAAGAAAATACTAATAAAATAATAAAAGCTTTCAAAAGAGACTTTTTTAAGATCTCAAAAAAGAAGACAAAAAACTTTATTTTAGCATGATCTAAGAATATGCCATTATTTAAAAGATATAATTTTATGGTAACAACCAAATCCAAGGATATAAAGCCAACAAATTGAAAAATAGGATATTGCGAAAAATATCCCAAGAAGCCACAAAAGCACTGATGATTTCAAAAAAAAAATTTGATGTCAAAGGTTAAACACGAAATTCCCCAGTTTCAGTGTCAACCAATAAAAAGAATTCTTTTTAAATTTTTTTTATAAAAAAAATTAAAAAGATATTTATATGTATGATATTTACAAAAAAAAAAATTACAAAAAAATAAAAAAAATAAATAAAATTTTTTTTATATACATTTTTCCATGGGCAAACTTTTTCTAGGACATGTTTTATTACTAAATAATATAAAACTATAAAATATATAAACATTACTTTAGAATGTTTAGAAGCAGTGAAAGAAAATTATTAAAGAAAAATATAAAAAAATGAACAAGAATAAAAGTCAAAATTTAAATATAATCCTAAAATTAAGAACTTTTAATATAGATTTATTGCATAAAATTAAGAAATATAGTAAATATACCATAAATTTATATTTAGTGTTAAGAATTCAGGAGAATTAAAGAAATATAAATAAGTTTTTTAATTCTGCTGAATTTGTTTTGTTACACAAAAATATATTAGCAATAAGAAAATCCAATTAAGAATGCAGCAAAATCAATTTAAGCCAAACAGTTGTTATTTTTAAAATCTCAATCTAACTACGATTATTTTAAAACACGTGTATAATAAACATATAATCAGAGAATGTTAGATATAAGAAAATAACACAATTAAGAATAAATTTATTTAACATTCATAAACTAAAGATGTTAATATCTAAAAAATAGAGAGAACTTACTTTTTCATACGACCAGTCCACCCAGGAGCATGCATTTACAACTCCATTAATGGCTATTAGGCAATCTACATTGAAGGTTTTTTTTAAAGCAAGACGAGTAAAAACATTAGCTCCAGCACCTATTCCAAAACATACACTCTTTTTAATATTGTAATATTGTAGCACCTCCTCCACCATATCAGCCATCTCATCCATGGTTGGGTAAACATAATTCTATTGGTATAAAAAAAAAATTGACTCTTTAATAACTCTATAATAACTAAATAATGCATTTCATATATGTCATTTGGGAGATCCCACAAACAATATAAGTTTTATTGCTTGATGAACAATTTGCTTTTTGTTGAAAGTTAAACTTAGTAATTGATTAATTCAAATTATGTGTATAGTTTGGACTAACCCTGAATGAATTCAGGACTTGGCAGAAGTAAATGAGTGCACAAGCTGGAAAATGCCAGTTTAAAACGAACTAGGGGGCAATGCAAGCCACTTACACTTATAGTGCTTGTGCAGGCGGTCAGCATTTTGAAGGTTTTTTAATATTTAATTAAAAAAGCTCATGGGGAAAATAAAATGATTATGGTAATTAATTTAATCTTAGTAACAGCAATCTTTAATATCATATCATAAATACATCTGAGAAACAACTTTTCTGATATTTATTCAAGCATCTTAATATTTTATAGAAAAATTGTTAAAAAGGTTACATTAAACTATTTTTACTCAAGTATATATTTAGATTGCTTTTTTATTAAAACGGTGGATTATTTTATAAATAATAAAAATAAAAGTTAACTTAACACTCTTTATCTTTATGAAACTTTTTTTTTTTAATTTGAAAAGTTTAAAAATAGCACTGAAATAGCTCCAGGTGAGAGAGTAGTTATAAGAGAAGTGTGAGAGTAGTCATAAGAAAAGAATTTTGTAATTAAAACTTGAATGAATAAGCTCTTTAAAAATCGGTTTGTGATCACGTAATTCAAATTTAAACAAACAAACTTTTATAACTGTTTTTAAAAGAGAATTTTATTCAAGTTATTAAATAAAATCTTTACTATCTATTACTTTCGCTTTGATTAAGTTGTATTATACTAAGTTAAAAAGCAAATATAAAAATATAGGGTATTAAAAAGTTTTGTGCTTAAAATAAATAGTTTTAAATAAATAATAGAATAAATGAAATAGAAAAATAGTTTATTTTATTCTTTTTTTTAAAAAGTTTTTCATTAAAAATATTTAAAATTTAGACTTTTTAAAAACTATTAAAGCTTTATAGAGTCACATAAATGTAATAATGAATAAACAATTTTTTGCTTTTTTTTATTATCTCATAACTACAAGATACTTATTAAAGCGATTATCAATAGAATGTAATACTCATTAAAGCGATATTTTATTTTAAATGCACTAGATGTTTTTTACTTTTTTTTTTTTTTTAATGTAAAATATGATTCAACCTAAAAAAGATAAATTTTGCTGTTTAAAAAAAAAGTTGTATTTGCACAAGCTTTAGTTATCCAGTGTAAACTGACTTTCATTGGAGTTGAGGTGGATGTGGGCAATCACTCGCCATTCTTGCATCTTGCTGAAGCCTATATATACAGTGTTTCCAAAAAGTATTAGCGCACTCGTAATTTTTTTTTATAGACAACTTCAAATCAATATAAATTGTAAAGTAATTTTAATTTTGAACTAGTTTTTTTTTTTTAAATGATAGGTAAAACGAATTAAATTTAATTATAATGTCAAATATTTGTCAACCTGCTTGTTTTTTTTTTAGTTAATTAGAAGTTTAATGACTACTCTGAAAAATGTCTGAAATTAAGCATGCAAAAGTACTAGCGCACTCATTTAAAATGTATTAACATACTCATTTAATTTTTTTTTTTAAGTTTTAAAAGCTTAAGAATTTTTGGAATTGGATGGACTGCAAATTACAAAAAGCAAGCCCACTAACTTGGTGCAGCTCAAAACGCAAATGCAAGAGTTGTGGAATACCATGCCACAAGAATTAATCAAAAAACTCATAGATTATATGCCGTGTAGAGTCTTGGCATGCCTTAAAAACAAAGGTGGTCACATAAAATATTAAACTTTCTTAAAATTTTTGAAAACTGTAAGTGCGCTTTTGCACACTTTTTTAATATTGTTTTTATCACTCTTATTGCATTCTAATTAAATTCAAGATAATAATAAAGAAATACTTTGATATATTTGACAATTAGTAATTCTGCTTTATTTTATAAGTTAAAAAAAATTATCAATCAGCCTTTTATTGTTTTTGAATAACACTCATTTGAAGTTTACTGAGGTAAAAAATATATGAGTGCGCTAATACTTTCCGGAAGCACTGTGTATATATATATATATATATATATATATATATATATATATATATATATATATATATATATATATATATATATATATATATATATATATATATATATATATATATATATATATATATATATTCTGTTGAGTCTTATCTCTTGCAAAGTTCACTAGATCTACTTGCTCTCTGTGAGACTAGTTTGAGTTTGGCTGTCTCATCTTGTCATCTTAGTGTTCATGGTTATCTTCTTTTAATTCGTAAAGACTCCAATAGTCACAAGGCTTGGCTTAGTCATTTACATTCGTAAGAATTCACAGGTTTGTTGGGAAACAAGGTTTGAATCCACCAAATATTCTTTTAATTGCTTTTGTTTAGCACCACTTTACTCTATCGCCTTTCTCCTTGTTATATATTGCTCTCTTCTTTATCTCAAGACTGAACACTTTTCTATGTTATTTCTGATCAAATTGACCAAAGCCTCTCACTTTATCCATCAGCCAATATCGTTGTTGTTGGTGACTTTAATGCTCATCACACTGAATGGCTTGGCTCTAGTGTCAGTGACACTACAGGCATTAAAGCCAACAACTTTTGCCTTTCTCAATCTTTAACTCAAATAGTCAATTTTCCAACTGGCTTTCCAGACAACCCGAATCATTAACCGAATAAGAACATTTTGTCAATATCATCTCTTGATTCCACTAGTTGTGCTCTACGTGATATAGTCAATAAACAGGTTGATCCATTGCTTGACATTTGCATCACTATAGCTTGTTGTTTCCTAAGTGATTTCCTGCTTAGACTCTACTACAGCTTGTGGTCCAGACAACATACCTGTTATAGTCTTGCAGAAGTGTTCTCTGGAGTTGTCGTCTATACTTTCAAAACTATTTAACAAGTACTTATCAGAGTATTGCTTTCCAGCCTGTTGGAAAGCAGCATCTGTAATGTCTATTTTCAAAATTCTGGAGAGCAATCGCCTAACTACTATCCCATTATTCTTCTTCCTATCATAAGCAAGGTTTTTGAATCTTTAATTTACAAACACTTAATCTCTTATCTTGAATCTAATAACTTACTTTCTGATCATCAATATGGATTTTGATCTTCTCATTCTACAGCTGATTTGCTAACAGTAATAACCAATAGGTTTTATCATACATTAGATAGAGGTAGAGATATTTGACATTTCTAAAGCTTTTGATAAAGTTTGGCATGCTGGTCTTCTCCATAAGTTTTCTTCTTATGGTGTAACAGGTAACATTTTTAAGATTATTGAATCCTTCCTTTCCAAAATGTAGTATAAAAGTTGTCCTCCATGGACAGCAGTCTTCTTCATACCCTGAAACTTCAGGGGTTCCTCAAGGTTTTATTTTTTTAAATTTACATTAACAACGCTTCAGATATTCTCACATCTAAGGTGGCAATGTTTGCTGATATTACCATTTATTCTTGTCTTGATATTGATGCCAACACTCTCATATTGCTTGGAGGGAGCATTTGAGCTTAAAAAAGATCTCACTTCTGCTACAGCATGGGGTTCACAGTGACTTAAGCCTTCCCAGGAAATGTGTGCAGTTTTTTTATCTTGTATGTCCACCCATGAGCATTTTATTTTTGACAACTTGGTCATGGCCAATTGGAAACTTTATTATATTAAGTGTTGCTAAAAAAAGTTTTAAAAACAAAGGACGCAAAACTAATAAAATAGGAAGCTAAAATAAATAAACATACAAAAAATAATAATAATAATTTAAATAATTTTTGTACTGTTTTTATTTAAGTTTAAGAGTGGTTGTTATTTTCAGCAACAAAATTTAATAAGCCAAAGCAAAAAAAAATAAAATAAATAAACATACAAAAAATAATAATAATAATTTAAATAATTTTTGTACTGTTTTTATTTAAGTTTAAGAGTGGTTGTTATTTTCAGCAACAAAATTTAATAAGTCAAAGCAAAAAAAAAATAAAATAAATAAACATACAAAAAATAATAATAATAATTTAAATAATTTTTGTACTGTTTTTATTTAAGTTTAAGAGTGGTTGTTTTTTTTTAGTGTATTTTCCAAGTAAGGAGCACACACATATATACATAGTTTTTAAGCCTCAATTAGGCCATGTCATCTACACATAACCTTAAATGTTTCATATTACCTTTTTATCATTCGGCTGTATGCGTGTGAAAAAAACAAGAAAAATTTAGGAAAAGGTGGGTCTAGAACCATGGACATTTCATTTACAAAGTCAATGTCTTATACTAATAAGGGGTTGCCCATAAATTACATAATGCAAATTTGGACCTTTTTAGACTCCCTCCCTCGTCACGACATTGTAATTAACAATTTCGACATTGTAATTAACAAAACGACATTGTTTAGTAACAAGTCCCATTTGAGTAATCAAAAAACCACTAACCCCTCCCCCTCCTTATAGCATGACATAATTTATGGATGACCCGTAAGCTAAACGTGCATATAAAAAGGATCAAAAAAATATATTTATATAATACAAAAAGTTATACATAAAAGTATATGCATGCATTATATAAACATTTTCATATAGAGACAATATAGTTATTACATTAAAATTATACAAATATATTTTACAAACACATTGCAATTTATATTTTTGCTTTCCTCTTTAAAAAAACAAAAATAAAAGAAAAGAAAAGAATTATTTTTAATGTAGACTTAGAACTGTATTTTTTTTTTTTTTTTTTGATTTGCCTTATCTAATTTTTTTGCTGAAAATAACAACCACTCTAAACAAACAAAAATAAAAACAGTTCAGAAATTATTTAAATTATTAATTTCTTTTTATTTTTTTCTATTTAAGTTTCTTTTTATTTCCTATTTTATTACTTTAGCTTTTTTGTTTTTGAAACTTTCTTTTTTCTGCAATCATTAATCTTAAAAAACAGGCAAACGGTCGTGACCAAGTTGTCTAAATAAAATACTTACATGTGGTCATACAAAACGAAAAACCGCACAAGTTTTCTGGGAAAACTTGGTTGCTGATGAACTTTAATTCAAATAAAACCCAATTTTTTTCAGTTAATCGTTATCGCAATAATTTAGTTCTTCCTATATTTATGAATGGTAATGTACTTGATGAGTCATCTAACCTTCATCTTCTTGGATTAACTCTTAATTTAGATCTTTCTTGAAAACCATATATAAAATCCATTGCAAAATTAGCATCTGTTAAGGTTGCATCTCTTTATCATGCTCAACACTTTCTTACTCAGGAACCTATTCTTTATCTGTATAAATCTCAAACCCGTCCTTGTGTGGAATACTGTTGCCATATCTGGGGCGAATCTTCCAATGATGCCCTTCTCCTTTAGACAAGGTGCAAAAATGCATTGTAAACATAGTTAGACCTGCTCTTGCAGCCAATCTCTAACCATTATCACATTGTCATGTTCCTTTTCTTTCTCTTTCCTATAAATACTAAAATGGGCACTGCTCTAAAGAGCTAGCAAGTTTAGGTGTGGCCAACCTAAGACATTCAAAGCAATGAAAATGTTTTTAAAACTTGCATTTTTAATAGATACTCTAGTTCAAGTTTTTGTGCACTAATACAACAGTGACAAGTGAAAAGTATTAAAAAACATAATAAAAATTATTTTGTTCTATAAGAATCTATTGATACACCCTTTATATTTGATACACCGTTTTGTACAAGGTATTTTGTTGTTGTTTTTTATTATAGAAATTTTTACTATTATAGGAATGGAAATTAAAAAAAATTGTATCAAAAAAAAAGTTAAACTTTTTAAAAAAGAAATTTTTTTATATTTAGTCATTATAACAAAATTTAGCAGTTTCAGTTTTTAGTTTATTTTTCAGTTTTTCAGTTTTTCAGTTTATTTTTAAATAAAATAAATAAAAAGATAAAAAATTTTAAAAAACCAATAACATATAAAAATAAAAAACGAACCTCTGGTAGAGCTTCAGCATTCTCATGTTGGCCAGGAAAATTTAAATGATAAACAATAAAGTTATCTAACAGAGGTTTTAGTTGATGAAAACAGAAAAACGACTGAAATGCAACTATGTGATTCTGACCAATGTCATGCAGAGTTAAAAGCACAGACTTTTTATTTTCTGACTTGCCTTGAATGGCCACAAGAATATCACCTAAAAAAATTATATATTTTAAGGGAAAAAAGAAATTTAAACAACTTTAATCTAACCGCTCATAAAAAAGTCTGTGATTTGCTATTAGTTTATTATAAAAAATGCTTCTAAACTTAAAATTTTTTTTCTCTCAGATGCCATCATAAATAGTTGCGTATTAATGCACTTTAAATGTATTATTTGTTTACATTTCTTGAATGTATTATTTGTTTACATTTCTTGCAGGTATTAGATGAAAGTAAAAATAATTCTAAAACTTACAATTTTCTAAAAATTTTATAAATTCTATATTTTTAATGGTTAATTAATCAAATAGCATTTAATTTTTTTTTATCAATTAACCGTTAATTGGTCACCATCTCTAACACATAGGATTTGCAATCTCCCATCCTAGGATCCCGAAATTCTGTCTAATTTTATAACCCCAAATTCCTTGTAATATTTTTAAAATATCCCCGGATTTAAAAATAATAAAACTATAAAAACACCTACAATTACTGATTAATACCTGTGTTTAAATTATGTTAAATAAAACAAAAGTGACAAAAAAGCTATAAAATGCAATGCAATTTTTTCATTATTAATTAATAAGTTTAAAGTAAGTTTAATCACTCTTATATATTGTGACCATTACTGAGGCGTTTATTAGGAAATAACAAGAAAATAATTTTTATCATTTAAACTAAATTATAATAATATAAATAATAAAGATAATAACAATAATAAAAATAATAACATTATTGGGAAAATTTTATTTGTATTGATTTATATTGTGTTTTTGTAATAATAGAGTGTAGTCATTTAAATTTATTATAACTTTAAAAATTCAACTAAATTAAAAAGTTAAAAAATAACCATAAAAGGAATGATTTAAAAAAAAAAAAAAATTTAATTTAAATAAGTATAAGATTTTAAAATAAAGAAACTTTTTTTAATCAACATTTAAATTTTTTTTATAACAATATTTTTTAATTTAAAGATATTTCATTTCAAAGACTTACAACAATTTTTAATGTGGTTTTAAATTTAATTTCAATGAAGTATTTTAAAATACGCAACTGACGTAATTAAACTTTTAACGATGTATCTTTATTGAGTAAAGTTACATTTATTCGCATTGCGCTTTTCCGTTATGCAACAAAATCTCATAACAAGGCCTGCATCTAGTTGTAATGTTGCTTTTCATTATTTTTTCTATAAATACTATAAAGGACACTGCTCCCAAGAGCTAGAGTTTCCTATGCCATAAGTTTATGCATAAACTTGTGTCCTCTGCTGATAGGAGCTTCAGTACATACATTGACTATTTTATAGCCTGCTGCCACAAAGGAGTGCCGCTGCATTGTTATCAGCCATAAACTTATGGCATATACTTTTGCACTTGTGCAAACTAGCATAATTGTGAAGCAGTTGCAAAATCTGGCATAAGAGCAAAACAGCATAAGTGTGCCAAAAAAATTTTCAAAAATTAGCATAAATGCAAATCAGTTGCAAAAACAGGCACAAATGCAAACTGGCATAAGTGCAAACTAGTATAATTGTGAAGCAGTTGCAAAATCTGGCATAAGTGCAAAATAGCATAAGCATGCCAAAAAAATTTGAAAACATCAACATTACAATTTCTTTTGATGCACTTGTGTCAGTTCACACTTATGTTGATCCTTACTTATTCCAGTTTTTGTAATTGCTTCACACTTATGCTTATAAAGATGATAACTTATAAAGATGATAGCTTCTTTGATCAGCATTAGTGAGAATATTTGTAGTAAAGAGAAAGAGATACAACAATGGAATAGTGACTTGAACTTGGCAGATAAAGAAAGCTCCAACTACATTTACAATGCCTTTGGACCTTGTCTAGAAAAGAAATAGCACCATTAGAAGAACCAACCCAAATATGACAATAGCATTCCATATAGGGACAGATAAGAGATTTGTAGAGAGTATAGAATCAGGAGTAAGAAAACGACGAGCATAAATATAAAGTAAGAAAATAAAAGAAAGAGAACCTTAGCAGATGCTAACTTTGCAATTGATTTTTTATATGGTTGCTATAAGAGGTCAGTAGTGAAATGATAATCCAAGGAGACATTATATAGAGGACTCAGTGAGAAGGTTGCCACTCATTAATATAGGAATGTCGACAGTACTGCGATAGTTGTTTGCAGTTAATAACTTGGTTTTGTTGGAGTAAAAATTTACAAACCACTATGAGCCCCAATCTGTTACAGAGGTGAGATCAGATTCAAGATCGGCTGAATATTCTAAGCAATCGAAAAGAGTAGACTTTTTGTCAAGACAGGAGTATAAAGTTGAGTAATCAGCAAAAAGAGCTACTAGATGCATGGTTGTCCGGAAGTTCATTATTGTAGATAAGAAACAAAACAGGACCAAAAAAAAAAAAAAAAATTCAAAAGCAACTGCAAACCCCAAGCTCAGATAGAAGAGAGATCGGATTTAAGATCAGCTGCCTATTCCAAACAATCCAAACGATTCACTGAAGAAAATCAAAATGTTTTTGAACCATAGGATAATAGCTAAATTCACAGAGAGAAAGTAAATCTAGTGAATTTTGCAATAGGTAAGATTTAAACTATAAAAAGTTACTTTGAAGACTAAATATTTGTGTAAGATATATTGAAACAATTAGTTGCTGGTTTGTCATTGGATTACGTGAGCAGATTGGATTATAGGCAAGCCTTAACAGGAGACATGTGCAAAAAAAATATTTCATTGACTTGTTGCTCTCATGTTTGGAGCAGAGGGGATAAAATTTTAGGGCTTTTTTGTTCCCATCCTCCAACCATTGCAACTTTTTAAAAAGCATCGTTATTTGACATATGTATAAACATACAAATGTTTAGATGAGGCTCGGTATTAGCTATCTCAAACACTAAATAATGCTGGATTCGTCACTGCCACAGATCTCTTGTTTCTGAAGCAAATTTGCTTCAGAATTCAGCATTTAAACGCTACAAATATACAATAAATATTTATATACATTTAAATTTTCAGCTTAAGACAAATATCTCAAGAAAAAAAGTAAAAATTTTAAATGTACTTTTCAGGTTCAGAGTTTGCAGTTAGTTATCAGATCAAAATTCAAATTATTAGAACCATTCAATAATGAGAAAGCAAGAAAGCAGTCGCCGTAGCGAGCTCCTTGAATCCACTCTTCTTTTTTTAATGGTTTTTTACAAGAACTTTTTATTTGAAGTAGCATCTGAAACTTTTCCAACCTCATCACATGCTTTGCATTATCTTGAATAAATTTTACTGTAAGCACAGCTAAATTCAATTTTTTACAAAGCATTTTTCTTTAAAAAAATAATACATTTCTTGTTTTAAGAAATAAATATCTTACCCTGAAATTTATTTTTCAAAACAAGAAATATATTTCTTGTTTTTAGAAATAAATTTCTTAAACTATAATCAATAGATTTACGATTTTGCTATGAGTTCTGATGAGTTGTTAACAACTTTGAAAGATTTTTAAAGTTTTGGAATTGATTGTATCTAAAAAGTCTAGGAATATTCATCTGTTGGCATTTTTTCAAACTATGACCTAGAATATCAAAATTAACCAGTAGAAATATATAATGGTGAAATCAGGGGTGTGGAGTCGTAAAAAAAAAAGTAACGACTCTGACTCCGACTCCAGTTGTTGAAAATTTTTCGAGTACAACTCCGACTCTGACTCCAACTCCGACTCCAAAGCAAAATTTTTGAAAAATTCTTTGAATTTTTAAAAAAATATGCGATAAGTTAAAAAAAAGTTTTTTGACAAATTTATGAAACGTTCTTTGAGATTTAGTATAAATATAAGGTTAATTGAATGTTTTATACATGCACGAGCAATACCAAGAAGTTTTACTATTGGAGTCGGAGTCACGACTTTGATTAGCAACTCCGACTCCGCTAAAAATGTCGCAACTCCGACTCCACAGCCCTGGGTGAAATATATAACTCAAGACCTAGTGGCTGGTCTTTATCAACAAAAACTGCATTCAGAAGGATTTCAGCTTTGATTCTATCTTTTTTTTACATCTTTTCAGACCTCCCTTTGTTTTTAAATACAGAACTTTTTACCACTTTTATATTGTGATCTTGGTCAAAAGATGCTTTTGCTAGCACCAAACACCTCTATGGTTTTAAAATAATGGTTTGCAAAATGGTTTAAAATCAGATGTAAAGTAAACCAATTTTTTTTCTAATGACAGACTTTCCTTAAAATTAGTAGAGATATAATAAAAATTTTACCATGATTTGAATTTCACCTCTGCAGCAGGCTCAATATACATCTGCCAATAGTCTTGTTGATTTTAAATATGTAAATTAAAAATAATACAATCTAGATAAACTAAGGTTTAAAATTACACTGCTAGAAGGTTATTACATTTAATTTTGACAAGATAAAATCAAAGTGCTATATCTATTGATTTTTATTATATCTCTACTAATTTTAAGGAAAGTCTGTCATTAGAAAAAAAATTGGTTTACTTTACATCTGATTTTAAACCATTTTGCAAACCATTATTTTTAAACAATTAGTTACTTTATGATATAAATTATTCTTAAATAATAAGACTAAAATATCAAAACTTTAGAAATTAAGTTTTACTTTAAAAATTGCAGAATCAGTTAAGTTGCAGGTCAAAAACTACAATGCCCTAGAGAGAGAAATGTAGTCAGCCATTCTATTAACCTCTTTGAGTATTTTATTACTCAGAATAAAAACCTGCCTGATTTATTTTTTATTTTATTTTTTATTTTTTGTTAGTTCACCTCCTCAAGGCCGAGAAGGCCACTACAGACGAGGAGGCTACTTATTTGTTGTTATAACCCTCTCTCAACTCTATAACTCCAAAACATGAACAAGGCCGCTGCGTGGAGAAACGAGTCGAGCGCAGTACTACCAGGGACATGGTGGGGATCGAACTCGGAACCTCTCGCTTATGAAGCGAGCGCTCTACCACTACACCACTACTGCATTTTTGAGA